TCAGAAAACGGCCTAGTTAGGGAGTTATAAAGGCTCAAAGACTGTCCCGCGTGTATTCTTGGACGAGTTTCACCGGCATTGTAGAGTCTGCACCGATCACAAGAAAACCCGTGTAGGAAGTTCAAACAACTTGTCATGACCCATAGCGACAGTAAAAGACAGTTCCGTACAGTTCTGGCTCGATGTAGTCAGCTCTTTGTGCAATTACAATAACTGAAATCTCGTTCAAATACCCCTTCCATGTTATTTCGGCCATGGCATTCTCGTCCAACCACTATTTTCCCTACTTTTGAGGAGCCATATTCCTCTCAAAATTGGCGAATTCTCTCGCTTTCTTCACTACCGATGAACTATTCCCAATCTTTACTTCCGCTTTTCGAACAAAGACGGGTACTTCGAAGTTACCGTGAACTGTGCCTTTAAATATGCAAAACCACGAATGCGTGGCGCATCATAGGTGCTCGGCATCATAACGCTACGGTTAAAAAAAATCTGATTTCATGAAAGTTTGGGTGTGACTCTATACACCAGTTTAAGAGGCCATTCTCTAGCTTATAGAGTGCTATTACAATAACAAAGCGTTTCCCAACAGATTGATACTGCTTCGATTGGTTCCCTAGCATAGTATCGGCCAGTTTCTACCACTGTTCTTCACCATATCCAAACATTTGCAAGCAGCTATTCAAACACATCGACAAGCCGATAGACTATGTGTCTTTTGTTACAGGACGGTAGATTGATTACAGGCTGCTTTCCGCAGCAGTCTCCCGGCCATCTCCCATTGCAATTCTTTCAGCGGTCGCATTTTCTGAATTAGGCCAGTTTTGGCATTTTGTTGCCAAACCCAGTGATGGTTATAATTTTCTGTGAAAAAAAATCTTAACAACCCAACGAACGCGGCTCCCCACTGATCCCATAGCAAAAAAAAAAAACGTAAAATATTATTCTCACTACTGGAAGATGGGCCACACTGCAAGTCGCGTTGCCTGGATTGTCGGTAGCTAGCTGCCTCGCTTTTTTTCGGTGTAGGCTCCCTGCACTTTCTTCTTATATGAGCACGAAGTTGATTCCGTGAACTGAACCTTTTCTCGCAGCTATCACACACGAATTGAGGTTCGTCTTCGTGACCGCGCAGGTGATCCTAAAACTACCAGCACTCAATCCTCTTTACCTGTCGAGATTGAAATCGGAATCTTAAGCGAAGAGTAACAAGAAAAGTGCCCGACCAACCGCAAAATGAAAGGCGTGCTTGTAGACGGCTGCGCACTGAGGACAAACGAACACAACTCGTTCGCAATGTATTCGATTGATATGACGAACCATATTGGAACGTCGATTGAACGATTTAAAACAATGCTGAAAGCATCTAACTCATAAATGATGAAGGTCACTTCTTAGGAAAAGGTAGTACCTTGCAAACGAAATACTCAGGATCACCCAGAAGTGACGCCACAGTCTTGCGTCTCCGCCTCGAAGTATGTGGCAAATCGTTTTGCTCTCTATATGGCAACGGAATAATTCTTTTTGGTCGCACGTCCTGAAATCAGAATAGAACCAACAGTCTTGTTTGATCTCAATACTGGACACCAAGAATTCACGTCACAAGTCTCCTACACATTTATCAAAGTCCTCATCATGTATGCAAAGCCTTGTTTGCCTGCATCTCAAACGTGAGCCTACATGCGGAGGGAGGAAGTACGAAAAAAGTCGGCAGGATACAAGTTAAAAAACTAGTAACTTCATTCTAACACAGCCCAGGAGCTGAGGATTAGTGGTAAACAAAAAGCTCTCAAATGAAATGCAAAGAAGCAATTTGAATAAAAGAGTAGCTTATGAAACGAGTGAGAGAAAGAGAACAGCCATTCGCCGTAAAAAGGCTCGGAGAAAGGAGCGGTGGGGCTGAACATAAAACGGCTGGGACGAGTTGATGGATAACAGAAAAGTTAAAAGCGAACAAAACAGACATATGGAAGACTGTCCTTGTGGAAGGACACACCATCGAACCAATTTACTTATCAAAAAAGCTTGTGTACGTGTGATACTGCAATAGCCCAAGGAGCGAAGAAATGATAATAAGTAGGCAGTAGCCCAAACGATAGAGAGGTTTTATAATGGTACGTGCTCCATACTAAAGATAGGCGAAGATGGAAAAAGAGAAATGGAGCGTCATAACCCACTTCCGTTTTGTTTTGGATGAACAAAAAATTGGAAGTGACAAGCAGAATATCCCAACTTCTAAGGAGCCCATGATGGGTCGAGGTTTTGGATCACTGAGCCAGAGTAGGTGGTTGGAATGGAATAGAATGACTAAGAGATAAAGGGGGGAATGACAGAAGTCAGCACCTTCTAAAAGGGAGAAAGTGGTGCCAGTAGAGGCGCCTCCATGACTGCCGCTTCGTTTGCAAAAGTTATAAAATGTTTCAAAGTAATAGAGGATGAAAGTTTTGAGGCTTTGTTTTCAGTCAATATCGATTGGAGTGATTGGCCTTCAAGTGACAAGGTAATGGGAAAGTCTTGATCGTAGCCATCGGTTTGCTATTATGTACAAGCTAGCGTGCAAGGGTGAGAAAATAAATTGGCAAAGGTTATAACTTCGACGAATGGGTCTCGGGAACAACATTAACGGAACCACTGTTTAACAAAAATTTGCAATAACCGTAAGTTTACAGGAGGTACGACATATTCTTACTTCGACTGATAGCCCTTCTGTATCCCCAGCTTCCGATGACGTATCAGATAGTGGTACGATGCGTGGTGTCTCGAAATCTACTCTGGAAAGTGGAGAAAAGTCTTAATTAGCAAAAATATAATAGTAATAAAAGTTCTAGGAGCGGCGAAATAAAAGTTGTATCAGGCCACGGTATAATTCTTGCCCTTTTTTTGTTTGTTCGTTTTGAAATTTTTCCTGCTATGATAGCAACTGGACGAGTGATTTAGGAACAACGCCAGAGCGATCGAAGATCCTTGACCTGTGACCGAATATGCAGAAATTTCCTGGGATGATTAGTACTGAATATGAGTTCTGAGTATACCATGAGAACATCGCGCGACACGTCTTCGGGATGCTTACCGGCCAGGTATTCAAGAAAGCCTGGAACGTCGCATCCAAGGTCTGAATCCATGCTCGGGAATTATGTTGCCGGTTCTGTGGGACTGGTTGGGCATGCTGTTTAGTATCTGCTTGACTGCAAGCAAAGAATCACATCCAATAACTACGTGAGAAGTTCTAGAACATAGTCGTATCAGGCGAGAAAAAATGTTTGGAGCATTGCCGCCCATCTTCCAGACAGAACGGCCCAAACACTTCGCAGGATACCGGCGCCTTGTGAACTGAGGTTCGGCGGTATTTCCTCATTTGCTGCGTGGCCTGACGGTGCTCCAGCGGAATACCAACCCCTTCCTGCCCTCGGTCACTATTTGTGGGGAGGAAAATTCCGAGACATTTGAACTGCCTGAAAACAACCTCTCCAAATTCTTCGGCCGCGAGCCTAACCATTTCTGGCAAGAATTCTTCACTGCACAACAAATGCACATCGTTGATCATGCTTATCTTCAACCGGATGAGCCGGCTTACGAGAGAAAAAATCTGTGAAAAATGGGGAATACCCGGCTGATTGAGAGCTTCCCTCTTTCCACTACAAGTATTCACCATTTTTAAGCACAGAACTTGTAAAGAGGGTGTCATGTAAACATTAACAACAAACAGGGCACTCCTCCTAAAAATTATTCTTGATATCTCTGACAGTTATGGGGAGATGATGTTGATTTTACTCGGAACTCCCACGAGGTTATTATAAAAAACCTATGCGGAGATAATTTCTCTTTGAGAACCCAGTTGTTCCCTTTCTTCATGTCCAGCAGCGCATCGACAGTTCGAAGTGAGCAATCAACTCAGCTATTATTTGCTAAATATCATCAACTTGGATGGTATTTAGCGAATAACAGCTTCAATGGTACTGTTGATGAATATCAGAAGTTTTTCGGCGAGCGAAATGACTCGTATATGACGTAGGAAATCTTGAATTCATCGGGAAACGCAAACATAGTTTTCTTCCGGTTTTTTTACGAGTCGGTTCAGACTTATGTTTATTGGCATACTATAAAGTCGATGAACGTTAGAACTGGTAAACGATCCCCTCTTACAGTTGGGGCTCTGCAGCAAGTGAGAGGCTGGCCTGAAAAGTTAGCGTATCTTCTGCTGTGTGTTCCTCACTATCAATACGCGATGGAACCGATCTTTGACAATCAATTGCGAATTATCGACTTTTTTCGACCCGACAGCAACCCACGTGGGATGAATACAGGTCAGAGATTCGTTCTTGTGAGTTGGCTCAGGAACTGTTTCCATTGTGAAGTGAGCCTCTAAGTCGGGAGATCACCAAAGAGTAGAATTTCAATGGCAAATTTGAACAGATATTGTTATTATATTATTATATTATTTTGCTGAGTGATTTTCACGAAAATCCAAGTCACCAAGAGTATGAAGTGCTACATGAGGACATAACTATAAGGTGTCCGAAAAGTTTTGAAAAATTTCAGCCGGTTTTTTCAACACAAAATAAGTACAGCAACACACTTAGATCAGTGATCACGATAGTGGCCCTTCTTAGCCACAATGCCTCTCCATCAACAGAACAGGGCACTGATGCCATTCCTTCAATATGAAGAGAGGCGTAACGGAATTCATTCGTCTACCATCTACTTCACTTCTCGGTAGTTGGCGGATTTTTTNTTTTTTCCCTTTAGAGCAGGTCTGTGGGCTTCTGAAAGTATGGCACTAATATAAGTTGAGATCAGGGGAATATGTGGAGAGTGGGGTAGTCAGGTTATACCAAGTCTTTCCGGCTAATCCATCGACGTCCTCGCGCGGGATGATCGAGTATTATCTATCACAATCGAGAATTTCCTTGTAATTGCAGTGAAATGGGGGCTCGAAGCACCATCTCTCTCAGTCGGTCACAGAATACTTTTGCGTTCACCGCCGTGCACTCTGGTAGGTCTGGTAGGATCTCACAGTGAAACACGCCGTTGAGCAGAGAAAGATAAGCTCATATCTTTCTTGTTCTGAGTGCTCGCTTCATAGCGGGCTGTGGCTCTACGTTCGCTATTAGACATTGCAATTTCCTGTGTAGATTCTCATTAGCATCTACTTTTCATCCCGATCAGTAATGAAGCCGGTTGATGTCGCCGTTTGCTCTCAGTCAAGGAGCTTCTGGTACACACTGACTCGCACCCGAGCTGCTGCTCAGCCAAGGAATGAGCGTTATTTGCAGAGTCCTGCTTTGAAAGCGACTTTTGCGTGGAACGTCATGAACGATGGAATAGGCAGTAGACTTATCTATTCCATCTTTTGAGACGTTGAGGAGGATTGCTCTGAGGGGAGGCCAGAACAGTGTCGATATTTGAAGACAATGCAAACTGTCCTCTAATGGAGAAGTAGAATTCTCCGGTAGTTGTATCGAGGGCCATCGTTCGGTCGACGATTACTTACTTCGAATGAACAAGTCGAATACCGATTAGTTACAGTACTGATCTATCAGCAATGCCCCTTCCCTGTTATCGAATCTATAGTACTTCTTTAGCGAGTTCGCGAGCAACATGCTTTCGAAGTTGAAAGGCAAAATTTTCTAAAACCTTTCCGGACACTCTAATACATTTTATCCCCGGTAGGCAGTTGTGACATATTTTCACCAATTTCCCTTGTATAGCATGATCTGAGCTGAATGAATGCAAAGCTCTCAGTTTCCGGAAATGACACCGTTTTGAAGGAGCAAGGACTTTCAGGAAGAGAGATTACCTGCTTTTTGGATGCCATAATGTACGCAGCTGACATATAAAGAATTAGCAGGCCCATTCCGAGATTTTCGTGTAAATTGGAAGAATCAAAATTTCAATACATTATTGTCTTTACCATGTGCAGGACTATTCACTGGCCTTTTTATCAAACAAGTTTTGGAGAAAATGGCAATTTTAATAACGATCAGCTGGAAATGGAGCCGAAAATCTGGAATATGACGATATACTTGGAACTCAGTAAAGGAATTGAAGGGAATCAAAAGTTAATATTTACCGCACCACCCATAAACTGCGCTATGTTCTGGTTTTTTTCAGACTCAAAGCACTGTTCACAATAAGAATGGTTTCCTAGATTTCTCCTCAGGGTTACCCACTGACCCCACGTATAACAGAAAGGACACTGTAGGACCCAAAAACCCAAGAGCTAGGGGCATAACAGGAGCCCCACCACCGTCGGATGCCACGCCCAGCGAATTATGTCAGAAGAACGTAGAGGCGATACAGGTGACAATATTTGCACTAGGACCCACTCGTTCAGCGTTCAAACAGCTGATCGCCGAGTAGTAAGGTGATGTTTTCCTCTGGTTCTGCTATGTTGTTGTTGTTACTTTGTTGTTCTTTCTGCTGCTGCTGTCATTCTGCCGATTTTCTTCATGCTTAGCTGCAGCAGAATATCCAGTGCAGAAGATTGACAGAAGAAGATGAAATTGGATTCTTTAGCG